TTCCACCAGAAGACGACGGCAGATTCCGCTTGACCAGCTGTCGATTGGCTTTACTGGATGATTCATGCTGACGCTGTTTCCCAGGTAATCTCCTTCGATTCTGGTGAAGTGCTAAGCTTTCGTCCGTCATATGAGCTTATCGAGTTGCCTATCGACACAGATCTTCCAAATGTTACGAATCGAGACAGAAGAGAATTGCTTTGTATTAGATGTCACTATTAATGTGATGCAGAGGGCCAGGATCATGCGGCTGAAAGTTTAACATGCTCTCCTCTTGCCTCGCACGTCTATGGTTCTAGATCATAACTGAATTCCAGAATGGTTGAAAACGACCCTTTGGGACACATAACGAAGTGAGATCAAATGCAAAATCAAGCTTCCTACTCAACTTATTATTTTCAATCCCTCAAAAAACCAGTCAAGGCTAACATACTTCCTGGTAAATAGTAAAATGCCGTTACTGACTATAAAAAGGCCCATATATTCATCATAGTTTATGTAATCTAATATTCATAAACGCCATAACTTGATTTTAAATCCTGCTAGAATGTTAGTACGTCCTATGAAATCAACTTAAAGTATGAATATTATTGCTATTAAGTGCACGAATAAAATATTTCATCAGAACTCAGGTATCTTTTTCGATTCGTTATGGAAAGTTCAACCGGCAGAACCTAAAACACCAACCCTCTTAGGTGTGTATTCTCAATTGTTTTGTCGTATTTATATTTCGGATCAAACTAATTTTTTGAAAATAAAATCACATTTTTATTGACACATTTTCTGTGCACAACTCACAAATAGCTTTGGAATTCTTCTGCTCTAGTCTCTTTATTTGTATGCCCCTTATCCTACAAACATTTTGTAACAGTGTCTCTACCCAATCCTTCCTTCACCTTCAGTCCTGTTTTATCATCTCGTTTGAGGAGATTGAAAGCACTATGGAAAAGTTAGAGAACTCCAAAATAATTATTCATATTAAAATAAACTGTTATGATAGAGTAAAATTTCAAATAAAAAACAGAGAAACATTAATTCCTGAGTCGTTGATTTAAGGCACTAAAGTTTTACTGGAAAAGCAAGTTTGATAGTTCTTAATCCAGGAACAAAATTAATCCTTGGAATAAATTTGCTTAACTCCATTATACTTCTAGGCAGTGAAACGATCAAACTACAAATATTCACCTTGAGGGCGGATTATCAACAGGTGTGGAGAGTTGCCTTGATGATTATGATTTTAATACGCATCAGGTGATGCATGGGAATCGTGAATGCCATTAAGAGCGTGTAGATTTAATAGCCAACATAAAATGATATATACATGTGCCATTCAAACACATGCAAAAAACTCTTTAATAACTAAATGGCAGAGTTGTAAGGTAAAAATTTAGAAGCAATACAAAATTGGCTAAAGCATTAAAACGAAAAAGACTTTTGTATGTATACTATTTTTGGTCTACTGAAAGGTCAAGTAATCTTTGTAATGGAATCCGAATTAGAGAAAGAGATGTAGAGCCGAAGAGAGAAGACATAAAGAGACATAGAGACAGTTGCTGGTATACCTTTCATTTCATTCTAAGTCATTGATTTCGTTGATAAGAGGAGATTGATGCTGGTATATCTCTCATTTCGTTTAAAAAGGTGAGTGGAAGGGATTAATAAATTGGCCTCATCGGAAACCGACTAGGACTTGTGGTAGTTGGATTGTGCGAAGAAGACCTCGGCTCACCGTCCTGCGACTTCACTCCATCCAAGTTAAGCTTTCGTCCGTCATTTGATGGACATCGTCAGAACTAGAAACCATCATTTACGAATAATCACTAAAAAACACTAAGCCCTTCTTTATTTAGTGATTCTGGTGATTGTTCATAAATAACCGTTTTTGGCTCTGGCGATGTTCGTCGCATGACGGACGAGGGCTCAGCACGAATGGATTGGGGTAACAGGACAATTAGCCGAGGTCTTCCTCGCCCAATCCAAAAGTCACAAGTCCAGAGCAACCCTTCTTCGACATCTGGTGAGGCCAATTTGGGAAACCCTTCCACTCACCCTTTCGAACGAAATGCACCAATCTCCTAAATGACTCTTCAGAACCCAGCTTCTCATGATATAGACAGATACAGGAAGAAAGCTCACTGGAATACGCAGATAAAAAGAAGAATTTTCTTTTATAGTTTTCGCAACGTCGTCAATTTATTCAAGCTAGCACAAATAAAGTTTTTATTTGGGCGTTTTCATGGCTTGTGAAATACATCCCCTCTTAAGGCTGCTGGAACCAAGAACCGGAACCATAGCGACTGTGACCAAGTGGATGGATTGCCGAACCAGAAGTCGAGCATTCGATCACGTAAGATCTTTCGAGTAAGTAGATCTGTACAAAGGTGACCTGAATTTCCATTTAGAAGGAAAGAAATTCTTGAAATGGTCCCGCCGGAAACGGAATAAGGAGTGCTACAGAGTGAAGTCTGTTGGATTGTGCGAAGAAGTCCTCGGCTCACTGTCCTACGACCCCGATGAACCTATAAAAGCTTTCGTCTGTACTGTGACAGACATCATCAGAGCGAGAATCCATACTTTACGAGAGAGAGTAAAAATATACTAAAACAAACCTTTTCTCTTGGTTTGGTATATATTTGCTATATTTCGTAAAGCATGGATTCCTGCTCTGATGATGTCTGTCTCGGTACAGACGTAAGCTTAGCACAGATTCATCGGGGTTTCAGGACGGTGAGCCAAGGACTTATTCGCACAGTACAGTAGTCTTCACTACGTGGCAATTCTTCCGTTTCCGGTGAGACCATTTCGTGAATTCTTTCCAACCAACTTTCCCTTCGAAATTGACAGTAACATCACTATATATCACTTGGGGATTCTTCGAACCCAATTTTTCTTCATATCTGGAATGACTGACTTTTAGATTGCTCTTATTAACGCAATCTCACGCACTTCTATCGTCTCGTGCAATTGTGCTCAGAAAATTCCTGGAGTTCATCACCGATCCCGCGCTAGGCCCATCTCACTCCAATCGGCCTCCTCCTCCCGAGGTCACTTATGTACGCCTGCATTGCTCTTTCCTCGTCCGTCGGCTACACAGACACCGGCCTGATATGGCTTGCCTAGAGGCCAGCTCAGCTTTTGTCGCCTCCGCAGTCAATCCCGAGGCTTCTCTGCGGCGCCCTAGGGCAAACGACGGTCGCATCTCCGTCCCCTCACAGCCAAGTGGCTTGCATGGGCCAACATTCGTCCAGCGGTGGGTGCTGCATGAAGATGACATCCTCTTTCTTTTCTCTACCGGCGGCTGGCAGACGAACTTCCGCAATCACGTCAAACTCTCCGTCTACGGACACCACGGCTTGCTGACCTACCGAGCTGGGCAGCTGCGAGGTCGTGGACGACGAGCCGTTAACAGAAGGGCTCGGAACAGCAGACAAACAGCAGTGGTGATGGGAAACGTCTGCTACGTTGGCAAAGGGACCCAGGGCCGTGGGAGGCAGATCCCCGGAACGGGCGCCACGGCGAGGCCGGCCGGCAGGGCGGTACAGGCGGGCGAGTACGTGACGGACTATCTGCCCGACGTTTCCGTCTGGCTGATGGCGCACACAGCCTACCTTGATTGGCTTCGACCGCTTGTGTTCCCTCTGATCTGAACCGAGACGCCGGCTCCGCTGGCATTTCACTAACGGGGCTTTACGTACCCCTCTTGCTGACTTGAGCTATCCAACGGGCCTCTCAGTAACGGTTGTCGGTAGTGGAAGAATCCGAACGGAAGTGCAAGCGCCACTTATTCACACAGCCTCTTCGCCGGTGCAGGCCTACAGGCTTCTCGAAGGCCGAAGTACACCTGAAGCGACATCCTCTTTGCCTCCGCCTCGACTCGACGGGAGTGAGGAGACTCCGGGATAGGAGGCATCTCCGGTCCGCCGAAAGGGACCATTACAGTTGAGGGAATCAGTTGGAATATCTCCTCACAGCCGAAACTATTTTGACCCGAATTCCCCCCAGTGATAGTGAATGTTAAACGGCCTGGGGACTACGCTTCATGTAAACGCATCGCCGATGCTCTTTCACGAGGATTGGGAACGGCGTGAAGGCTTAAGAGGCAAGAGAACAAACGAAGCCTCAAACCGCCATGATGGGCAAATAGCCCACGTGGGACTTTCACACAGGATGAAGGTTTATCACTTCACCATGCCAACAGCAACGTATTGCTGAGTGGGGAAACTCCAGCTTATTTACAAATGAGAGTTGAGCTGAAACAGGTTGCCACAAGAAAATCAGAGAAGCAGGACAACCATGGCGCCATATTTTTCTTACTTTAAACTTCATGATTTCAAATTTACTTGAAGATTACTTTTGGATGCTATATGTAGAAGCGTGCCTTTAATGAGTTTTACTTGCCTTTCTCCCATTTCGTTATATAAATTCGTCTGTACGACTTACTTGCCCTTAATTCACCAAGCGGAATCATATGGGTTTCCACCACCATATCTTTCGATATTTATTCTAGATTATTCTGTCATCTAAGAATGTAAATAAACGTTTGGCGCGATTCCTTGATCCCAAATGACCCGATTTTTTAGCGAGTTTCATTCCACTCCGAAGCGCCCGTAATAGAATAATTGCTTCTCTTTTGACGTTTGATATTTGTCAAGTGATCGAGTAAGGCACTTCATGTCGAATAAATTGTGGAGCATTTCCTAACCAGGATGAGTCTCCTTTTGCTGTATCCTGAACAGCCTTTACCCGGTCACCTCAAGCCCGACTGCTGGCCCTTCGGACGCGTAACAGCTCTGAAGCCCAAACCTCGAGCGGTTCAATCTTCTCAAGGCCGATCCATCAGGTCCTAGCGTATCTTGCACGTTTGGACTATATCCCACCTGGGGCCGTAGGTGTACAAAGGCTCTATTTTGGTTAGGGTCTCTAGATGAGGAATAAGTTAAGAATGAAAAACTCAAGTGTCTGTTGCGCCGACAGTGCTAATGATAGCCAGAGTAGCCAGAGCCCTCTTCAAATTGGAGACTAAATAAAAGTAGACCTACTTTTCTGCACCTTTTTTGTATAGCTGCGTTGATTACTGACCATCTCGACCACTCGCCATGCGACGCACTACGACCTGAATCTAAATTCACTCCAACCTGGAGGTGCATCTGAAATACCACAGGGATGACATGTTATACAACCAGACTACCCAATTTTACGCCCTGTCAGCGCTCTTGCTGGTATCATCTAACCCAAGCTAGTCATTTAGCAGAGATAAACTAATACCCCAGTTGCCACAGGAAATGATCCACGTCCCACAGCATATGAGCACTTCCGATTCACATAAATCGTGGAAGGGCACGTCAAGTCCAATCATGGTGACTAGTCTCAGCATTGATGGTCTAGCTACTCACCTAAGATATTTCTTGCACAGTATATAGAAGATACGTGTCTCGAAAACCCATTTGCAAGCGAAAAAAATGCATGACATTGAGGGATGGAAAGTGGCTGCGTACAAATTGGTAGGTTTACTGCACCAAACATCCTAGTTTGAAGGAGGTTGTTGGGACACGACTCTGCCACTTAAGCTGATAGTCACGCAAGAAGCATTGGCCTAGCCTGTAGCTGTCAAACACAAGAGCCGAGGCTAGTGCATTTGTCGAGCATACGTTCTGGGCCGAAGGTATTAATTGACACGTATGAAATCGCTCGCGTTTCACGAAACTACCAACGAAAAGTTCATGAGACTCGTTTGAGCAAACTTGGCCCCTAAATTTATTTCGCTTTGTGCAAGCTTATAGACTGGGTTAGAGGAATCTTTTAGGCACCTTATTTTAACATTATGTTAGTCATTCAGTCTTGGAAAAAAAAGTCATACGGCGGAGGAAATCTCGATAAGACT